ACGTGGCTTCGACAATGGGTTTTCAACCATCATAAAACATTTCCTTTGCGCTTTCCTCGCAAGATTTGCGTCATTGAGACAACAAGGTTCACTTTGGGCGACAAGCTGTTTACGCATAAGCAATGGCGCTGCTGGTCTCCTGAACAAGACCTGGTCAACCTTGTGTTGCCCGCAGGTATCTTGTGGCATGGTTATCATTGCAATTCTTTGGCACGCGCCATCCCCAACTTCCTCAAGCGCTCGCAGCGCAAACGATGGCAGATTTTCCTCGCTCCTGCTGGTCCTCTCGCAAATGGCTGATGTTCCGTGGAGCGCTTGATTCGGCATGTCTTGTAGATGTGGCGCGGAGAAATCAGGTGCAACGGATCTGCGTTGCGTTTGGTGCAGCTATTGCTTGACGCTTGCGATAGTCGTACCCTGCCGTGTGTTTGCGCCTTTCTTTGTTGACGGTGCCCATTTTGGGCTTGAAAGGAAACCACCAGTGGTTCACATATCTGGAGAAGCCAGGTTGACAAGCGTTTGTGTACGCGGTTTGGCGGACCTGTGCGGACTTGTTTCCGTACAGGGAATGCCAAACATGCTCACTGGACTGGCAACAACGAAGACGCAGTGATGCATTTAGTGTAAACGTGTATACCTGCAATTGCTCAAAGTCTCTTTGGCCACTGTGGCCCCTTGGTTTTGGTCGCTCTGTGTGTGTGTGCGGAGTGGCAGAATACCCTGCCACCAAGCCTTTTTCCGTTGCAGCAGGGGGCGCAGGGAGTTTCAGCGAGTCCTGCGCCAACGAAGACGCTCGCTGTTAACTCGTGATATCCAGCCTGATCAGCTGGACGTACCTGCAATTGTGATGTTTGTGAATGTCCTTTTGGTCCCCTCCCTGAACCGCCGTTGCTTTGTTTGCCCCTGTTCAAGTAACTAGAGTGAAGCTGAGTGATGTGCAAGTCGAAGCTCACCATACTCGAGACTCATCAGTTGTGCTCGAAACTCATCAGTTGTACTCGAAAGACTAGCGCTCTCCATCTGGAGTTCAAGTGTGTACACCCCATTCGTGGGGAATCCTCGGGTGTACCCATTCTGTGACCCCGGGCCGGCTCTGTCGGAAAATTTGACCTCAACGTTCTTATCATAGACCAGCGGAATTTCGCATTTAACCAGGAACGAGGTTTCACTAAAGGGAAGACAGCCGTCAGATCATAGAAACGTCTCACTCGGTCCGTTGCTGGATGCTTGCTTGAACTTTCATGGACTTGCATTTATCGGACTCGTTCCTCTCAAGAGTGTGGAAGTTGCGGTTTTGCATTGGTTGTGCCATCATGTCTCGACGTGATGATCGTGATAGATCTAGGACTCGGCGCAGACGTGATCGGAGTCCTTCCCCTCAAGCTCGCAAAGCACGCCGACGTGAACACAATGACAGCCAGGTCGCGGAGAACATGGATTGGAACAACCTGGTATCATGGCAACACAATTCCGGCTACAACTCTGCCAACAACTTGCCGATGATGCCCACCAACTTTCAATCAACTCACAGCCCCACACAGCAGTTCCAACACCCAGCGATCAACTACTTGATGCCGATCCCTCCAGACCCCACGCCAACCAAGTTCATACCACCCGTGATGCCACCACCGGTCACTACTCCCCAACCTACACCGCCACCTGGACCTCCAGCGGCTCTACCGGTTCGCCCTCAGAAAGCCTGGCTTACACCTTCGCCTGACTGGACACCTGGAGATGGCATGTTTGATGTCAATCAGCTCTACAGCTTCAGTCTGCCCATGACCGTCGCCAACACTCCGCATGGCAACCTTCGCGACATGTCAGGC